CATTTGAGTGGGAAAACATGAAGATGGTTTATACAAGCCATAGGCTGCTCTTAAAACATATCTTTAAAGAAACAACAGTTAACTATTTTCTTTAAATGTGGTCAGTGGTATTTCGCGTCGGGTTGCTGGGTAGGTAGGCAGGAGGTCAACAATTCTTCGGTCTTGTTTTCCCCACCCCCCATATCATCACAAAGCTAGGGCTTCTTCTCTGTTGCTCTCAGCTTACTATAAATGACAGAAGTTTGAATTCTGATACAAGGAAAACTAATTTCAGCAAGTGCCCCCATCACCCTTGCTAATGACCATATAAACAGATCTCATGGAATAAGGGTCTCCTCTTTTATGTACTGGAAATGCTTGGAGTATAAATTATACCTAAGACCACATACTGCTAATAGCTCTTGCTTTTCCCCTAGTTAAATTCAATGAACTTATGAATATTTATGAATGTTATTTATTATGCAACAAAAGGTGTGAACAGTGCTCAAACTGATTAGGACTATTGTGAAAGAGTCTTCCATTTCTTTAGATTTCCATACACTGAAATTTATGGGGGAATCACAAAAAAAAACAGGACTCCTCCCTAATTATTCTGTGCTAAGTAGTTGCCTCCCGGCTCTGGAGAGCCTGGCGTGAAGTAAACAGAGAAAGTGTGGGAATGTGTGAAGATTGCCATCTAGTGGCTATGATGCAAGATGTCACAAAATAGCAGAAAAGCCGTCTTTTTTGTTCGTCACAAAGGACGTTAGCCAAGCCTAGCGATATGAGAAATTGCCTGGACATTTCCTCTGTTGTATCCACGGCTTCTGAAGACACTTCTTCGTCAAACAGCTGTGAGCGCTGGTGGAATTTCAGCACATGGTTGAGAAGGCAGCATCGTAGGGGAGCCCTCAATGCCTTATGTGTCCTCGACCCTTTACATGTCGAAACACAACTGAATAAATTACATCCTGAATGGAGTGATTGAATAAACGCTGCCCTTTCTTCAGTGTCCAGGGCATGGTCAAACCATCCCTTTACTTTATCTAATACCATGCTCTGCCTTGACCTCCCTGTTCCAGCCACAATGGCCTTCTTTAAGGTCTTCCTGCCTGATGTGCTCTTTCCACTCCGGTGCCTTTCATTGCACATGGAGTTCCTTCTTTCTGGAACACTCACCCCTGCCCAGAACATGCTGTTAACTTCTCCTTGAGATTTCAGCTCAATTATCACTTCCCCAATAAAGGTTTTGTGATTCTTTCTGACTAGATCAAATTCCTCCTGCGCTCATCTGTGACACCCACCTCCAGTGCTCCTTAACATTTATGGGCATGACCGTGTCGTTCATGTGCGTCTTCCCTAAAGCTCCGTGACGACAGACACAGCTAGGAAAGTACCTGCTTTAGATCCCTGTTGTATCCCTCTCATACATTAGATGCTCCATAAATATTTATGGAGAAAACACATAGTTGAATATATATCTGCATATGAATTTTCTAGGCAAGCCTAAAGTAGGCAATGATGATGACATCTACCAGTTTTGTACCTACTGTGTTCTAAGCATTGAGTCTAATTCTTATGTATTCTATCTCGTTTAATCCTGAAAATGATGCTTTGAGTTAGCATTTGTGTCCTTAGTTTACAGATGAGCAAACAGTGACTCAGACAAGTAACTCTGCCCAAGATCGCAGAGTTATTAAATAGAAAACTGTGATTGAAAGCCATACACTCCAAAGTGCATATTAAAAACCATCCCAGAATTACAAAAGAAATCAAATCAAGCATAATACTTTTGATCCTTTGACTATACATGATAAACATAAAAGACTGAGCAAATAAATCCTTAAAGCCATACTGCTTGTTAATGTGTAGATTTCTCGGTGACAAAACTGTGTATTTCTCAAGCGACTGTGTCTTGTTTACCACAGAAAACCCCATTACCCAGCATGGGGCCTGGCACGTAGTAGATGCTCAATGTATTTCTGTTAAGTAGTTTTAAACTTAAAACAAGATTGGTCGCATCCAAAGAAGGTAAAACACATATAGCCACAGTCAAATTTCTGCTTTGGAAAAAAGCAAATAAAGGAGTAGGAAGGGGAAAGTAAAAGAAACAGGGTACGAAACGTATAGAGCACCTACTATGTGCTGGCATGCTATTTTAGACACTTTTTTAAATTACTACTTTAGGTATTACCCCACTTAAACCTACAATAACACTATGACGTCATTATATTATTCCCGCTTTGCAGATGAGAAATCTGATGCTCGTGAAAGGTTTTAAAGTCAAGGCTACATGGTTCCACAGTCTACATGGTGACTAAACTCAATAAAGATAGATGTTAAATGCAGCGACTGGCAACATCATAAAATGGGAGGACTTCCCGCTAAAGGTCAAGGGTCGCCTATAAAGCTCCCAGCATGGCCTTACGTGAGCCTTGAGTCTCACCACTTACATTTCTATTAGTTTTATTTTCCAATGTCAGTTATTTTTGCACATGACCATCTCATAGTTCTTCATATGAAAACTCTTTAGTCTTATTGAAATTAGGAGCCTGATGACTTATTGAAATCAAAGTGTCATCAGGCTCCTAATTTCTTTCAAAACAATCTGCCAACCTTTTTAATTTACTTACTACAGTGAATGTCTAGCTATTCAGATCCCTCCACAGTTTTAAACGGGAATAGTAACAAATACTGTTTTCCATAGAAATGACTAAGAATAATGGCCAGAGAAAATGGAAACAATGGCATCGAGTCCCAAAACAATGCTGAACTACACCGTTTATACAAAGGGGAACTCAACTTCACATTGACTAAAACTTCCAACCCAGCATAACATTACATCCTCTACAAGGCTATTTAGATGTAAAGCAATTCTGGTTGCACACTTGAATTATTTCAGTGGAGTTGTACCATCTTCCCAGTGCTGTCTGTTCAACCATTAAATTAGTTAACTCTTGTGACAATATTTCTCCTCTTACATAACATTTCTATATGCACTCCCCCATCTCACTCTTAGAATAACCACACACAGTAGATGAAGCAGGTATAATCGTTATCACCTTTTACCTACCGATGAGGACACTGTACGTAGGACAGGGACGCTCCTCTAAGGGCTCACAGCTAACAGAAGCTGAGCAGGGCCTTGGAACCTGGTTTAATTCCTATGCTCTCTCTGCTATCCCCTCGATACCTCCTACATATTCCTATAGAGGAATACACTTACTAATAGTTTTCACACTGGTGAGCCCTTTCTAAATGACAACCATCAAGGTGTTACTCAAGAGAAAGTCAGTGAGGATTCCGTAAAAGTGCCGATGGGCCAGTGAAGTCAGTCACTGGATTCCTCAAGGCTGTGATGGAAAGTCTGCAGTCAGTCCCAAAGAATGCTATAATGCTGGTACAGTGCTTAGAGCAGTGAGTGGCATACTATAAACAGTATGTGAGGTGTGTTCGTTAAATGGACATATATGCACTTGAATGCCCAGGCTGCCAAGTATTCTTTCTTTATGAATTCATCTCCACCAGCAGGATAAATAGTAATAAAATTAGCCATAATAGCAATAAGGATAATGATTTATCATCTTGAGTAATATTGGCTTTAATCCTCCTACAACTGTGCAAAATATATTAGTAGCCCCCTTTTACAGATGGGAAAACTGCCGTTAAGCAACTTGTCCAAGGCCTTATTGTTCTAAGTGGACAGTTAAGATTTGATGCTGAGTCATCTTATTATAAATTTTTTTCTATCCTATAATACTTCTTTAAGATCTAATTAATTCAGTCAGTCAGAATAATAATTCAGCCAGCAAATATTTTAGACTTCAAAGCTTTTCTTTTCCCTTTAACTATCTAGATCTAGATCTAAGGTATCCATGGCCTTGTGCCAGTTTTAGCATGGCTACTTTTAGACAGATATTTTGGCTGAACTAAAATACAGAGGATGTGCCAACATTTTTTTAAACGAGGGAGTTTTTGCCTCCATTGGTTTGACTTTTGTGGCCTGGGATTCCCCCAAGTCCCTTAGGACTGTATTGTTCTTGAACCTAATTTATTTCTTATGCATTTGGAGTAACTAATGTGCTCCCAAAGGAAGAAGGAAGATGGAGGCATGTGGGATTAAGCTCCATCAAAAAAGACAAACGCAGTTGAAGCAGAGGGGGAAAGAGCGAGATTGACTAGGAGCCACCATCCTCTCCACACACTCAGAAAGCTTCACTGGGCACATTGCAGCCATTCCCCAAAGTGCCCTGCAGGACAGCCACCCACAAAGATAAGGACTGTGCATGAGATGATGGATTCGAAGTCCTAGGGGGGCAGAAGCTATCCTCTTGGAACCCATTTCGTCTTTAGAAAATGCCCCAAATCCAGCATTGTGAGTATTCCTCGCGAATGTTACTACTGGTAGGTGATCCATGTGAGAAATTCTGCGTGATATCTTGGCAGTCTCTTAGACCCTGAACCCCTATACCAGAAGGATGCCAATCCTGGCTTCTCTTCCCAGAGAATTTAGGAAACATATAACATCAATGCTTCGGTCTATTATCTCTTTTAGTCCTTACACTAGGCCTGCAAAGTAAGCATAAGGAGCCCTTGATCGCAGTCCCCTGAGTCATCGACATACGTTCATTAAGCACATAACTGCGTTTCGGGCACTATGCTGGGGATACTGCGATGACTAATATAAATGCAGCCCCTTCTCCCTTGGAGTTTATTGAATAAGGGGGGACGGAGAGTGAGGACGTGAGAAGATAAAATAATAGCAAAGGGGATAGGGGTTATAATGGAAACCTACAAGGGGCTGAGAGAAGGAAGAGGAGAGTAGCCCAGCCCTCAGTCTTTTCTCCTCCTACCTTCCTATCTCTTCAGCCCTGCAAGCCCCTCCCTACCACCCTGGCCCCTCTTCTTCTCCCCGACTCACTCCCTCGCCCTGCTCCCAGCGCCGAGTATTTCCCGCCT